GAAGATCAGAAGTTCCAAGTCATCATCAGCTTTACATAGCAAGTCTGAAGGCAGCCTGTGCTACAGGAGACCCTGTCTCAAGAGAGAGAGAGAGAGAGAGAGAGAGAGAGAGAGAGAGAGCATTTAAAATGATTTATAGATTCTTCACATAAGTAGGGAAAATCCTAAAAATCATATGGAACCAATATGATGGGGCAATTTCTCATTTGAGGTTCCCCTTTCCTGGGTAACCCAAGTTTGTGGCAAGTTGAAAAAAAACTATCCAGTACAGAATGATTATCTTACATACTAATTGTTTAGAGAAATACCTCAGGTCTCACTCCCACAGAAGTGGAGTTATTAGAGGGTCCAGCCATTAACCTAGTGAGCCCTATTTTCTTGGGAACTCTATCTTTATTAGATTTTCATCATTTTTATGAGTTCTCCTGAGTCTTTTTCTGCTACAGCTGACTAGGATCCCATCAACGCCAAACTTCTCCCTAAGCAAAAGAGAACACTGTGCCTAATCTAAAACTGCATGACTGATCTTGAGTAAATAACCCAAGATAATGATTAATCAGACAACAGACAGGCCAAGATGATATGGACTACTCATGGTGTGGTGGTTTGAGGGAGAATGGTCTCAATAGGCTCATATATCTGAATATTTGTCCCTAGTTGGTGGAACTATTTGGGAAAGATTAGGAGGCATAGTTTTGTTAGGTGTATCAAAAGACTTGCATTACTCCTTGTGTGCCTCCCTCTTCCTCTTACTTGCTCAATATAATAGCTCTCAATTGTTCCTGCTGTCATGCCTTTGCTTGGTCATCAAGGACTCTAACCCCCTGAAACCGAAAGTCCAATTAAACATTTTTTTTATAAGTTGTCGTGTTAAGGGTGTTTTATCACAGCAATAGAAAAGTAATCGAAAAATAAAAGTAACTGAGACACATGGCAATCCCCAATTCTTGCCTTTGTTTCTCTTGCCTTTGTTAACACTAACACACTTATAAGCACTTTGAAGATGCAATCATAGCATTTACAAGCAAGAGTTTCACAAGTTCAATGCCAGCCTGGGTTATATAGCAAGATCTTATCTGCAAAACAAAAACATAGAAGAGAGATTTTAGATTATCAGACATCTATTATTACTGGTACAATCATACTGTTGATAAATATCCTTGCCTACCTGTGTCACTTACTATTCAGTCCTTTGATTGGCTTTCTGAGGAGGTAACAGTAGCTGGATCCCACTGAGATTCCCTGAAGTTAGAACTTTTGTCTTAACTCAGGAATATAGTGCCAAAGAATGCTAATAAGATAATAAAATCCGGATATAAACTATACTAAAGTGGTCAATTCTGAAAATGCATATATGTCTTTTTCATAAAGAGGCAGTTAAGGAAAATGTCAGTTCAAATACTGACCAATAAAGACACCAACAATAATATCTCTTCATAGTGGAACTATGAGTTATTTTCCCTTATTTCCTTTTGCATTTTAAATATTTTATGAGTATGTATTATTTTCATTATCATGTCCTTTGAAATGGAAATCTTATTTTATATAATCAGTAGCATAAGTATGAAACACAGTCTTCCATGAGTGCTCATTTTACTGCCATATTCAGTATAGGGTGTTTGAAAAATAAATTACAAAGATTTACGTTTCATACTTTGTGCGTTCCTTTCCAGTCATTTATTATGTGTATGAAAATAAACAAATTCTACTGTCTGCTATGTAACTACTGTAAGCAAAACAGACTTTTTAAAAATGATTTATTTTTATGTGCATTGGTGTTTGTTGTTGTTGTTGTTGCTGCTGCTGTTTTTGCCTTCATGTGTGTCTGAGTGAGGGTGACAGATCCCGGGAACTGGAGGTCCAGATCATTGTGAGCTGGAAATTGAACCTGGTTCTTCTGGAAGAGCAGCTAGTGCTAACTGCTGAGCCATCTCTCCAGAACCCCAAAGTACCTTAATTTCTTTGATTTTGTTTGTTTTTAGAATCAAGGTTTCTGTAAAGCTCTGGTTGTCCTGAAACTCACTCTGAAGATCAGGCTGGCCTTGAACTCACAGAGATCCACCTACCTCTGCCTCCCAAATACTGTGATTGAAAGCATGTACCACTACTTCCAGGCCATCTTGCAAAATGAACTCTTAAGTTGCTTTTCTCAGGTATTTTGTCACAGTAATGAGTAAGCGCATCATTACACCTGTGAATGAAAAGAAAGAACATCTGAGATGACATTGGGAATAGGAAAAGTGTCTTGAAGGACATTTGTACTGATTTTGTAGTGTCTACTCTCTCTCTCTCTCTCTCTCTCTCTCTATCTCTCTTTTGCTTTCTCCTCTTCCTCCTCTTCCTCTTATTCTTCTTTTTCAAAAGGCATTTGTTTGTCTTTGAGGTCAAGTCTTATAGACCAGGCATCCTCTTACCTCAGCTTCCAGGTGTGTGCCGGGGTTACAGTCAGGAACCACTAAGCCCAACTTGGATTGTTTAAGTGGGAGGAGTATTTAGGATTGGTGACTAAGATGAAAAGAGACCTCTGAGTCATAGTGAGGGTATAGACTTGTGGAGGCTTATCTTGAATGTCAACTTGATTCATCTGGGAAGAGGAAACCTTGGTTAAACTATTGCTCCAGGCAGGTTGTCCTGTGGGTACATCTGTAAAGCATTTTTTGATTGTCAGTTATTAGAGAGGTGATGGCCACTGTTGGCAGGGTCACCCCTGAGCAGTTGGTCCTGGGTTGTATAAGGAAGGTAGCTGAGCATACCAGGGCAGCCAGTTAGTAAGCAGCATTCCTCCACAGTCTCTGCTTCAGTTCCTACCTGTAGGCTTCTGCTGTAGTTCCTGCCCTAGATTCCCTCAATGATAGGCCTTAATGTATAAGCTGAAATAAAGCCCATTTTCCACAAGTCACTTTTGATCACAATGTTTTCCACAACAACAGAAAGCAATCTATAAGACTCAGTGCTACTGGAGTCCTGCTTGTCTCTCTGGGGTAAGCCCCAGTCTGACCTGGGGTGGTTACTACCCAGCTTTCCCGATTTCCATATGCTCTAACAAAAAGATACACCACCCTCTGACTGCTGACTATTCTTGTGTAGTCCTATAAGACTTTTCATGATCTTGGTGTGTCACCTCCCCATTCATTTTTCAGTGTGACTTCTACACTGGCCATGTATTACATGTCTGAGACCTCTGGACACACTTTTTGGCAACAGAAAAGCAAAACTTAATAGAAGCTCTGATGCTCACTTTACGCCTTCCCAGAATAAACAAAGACTTCATGTGTTTAACAAGACAAAATGAGCCTGGCCTCTACATATAATTGTCTAGTCATCTGAATCCTGGCATCAATTTTCCCATTCATAAATGGGGATTCATACCTAGCTCACAGTGTTGCTGTATATGTTAAGTGAATTAATCCAAGAGCAGTTTCTTGCCCCTACTAAACAGTCGATAAACATTGATTTTTGTAATAGAATATCAAAGGAAGAAAAAAGTCTTATCCTGCTGGGCATGTATCAGGAAAGGCTTTATGGAGGAGGCAACATTGAGTCAAGGTTGAATGCTAATGAAGAGTACAGAGAAGGAAAAGGAGTGATTAAAATAAGGGTATCAAAGTAGAGGCTGAGACTCATAGACAAACTTATGAAAGAAGGGAAAAAGAGAAAGACCTGGAGGAAACAGGAGCTCCACAAAGAGAGAAAAAAAAATCTGGGCACAGGGATCTTTCCTGAGACTGATACTTCAACCAAAGAACGCTCATGGAGATAAGCTAGAACCCCTGCACAGATGTAACCCATGGCAGTTCAGTGTCCAAGTAGGTTCCGTAGTAAGGGGAAAGGAAACTGTCTCTGACATGAACTCAGTGGCTGGCTCTTTGATCGATGGGGGGACAACCTTACCAGACTAAAAAGGAACACAATGCAGCCAGTCCTGATGACACCTGATAGACTAGGGTTAAATAGAGGGGGAGGAGGACCTCCCCTATCAGTGTACTGGGGGAGGGGCATGGGTGGAGAAGAGGGAGGGATGGTGGAATTGGGAGGGGATTGGGAAGAGAAGGGGCTACAGTTGGGATACAAAGTGAACAAACTGTAATAAATAAATAAATAAATAAATAGATAAATATAGGTGGTAAGAAGGATGGGGCAGTGAGTGGCTAGGTAAGGGGTGGCACTTTGCTGTGAGACCTATTGAAAGTTAAATCTTTGAGAGATAGCATCAAAATGAAAATGGGGCAAAGAGGGAAGAATAATGTAGCAGGCACTCTACAAACTGAGCTAGATCTCCAGCCCCATGTGAAATGTTTAAATACTAAATTTAAAACCTAGGGGTTCTTTACTGAGCAATGGAAACCATAACATGGTTTTTGAGGAAGTAGAAGATCAAGCCTTCTTTGGTTATTGTCAATCCTGAGAACTTTATGGTTTTGCAATTTTTTTCTCTTTTACTTTTTTTGAGGGTGATTTTTTTTTTTTTTTTTTTTTTTTTAGAGGGCTCTTGGTAAGTAGCTCAGGGTGGCCTTGAACTATCTATGTAGCTCAGGCTCATCGAGAACTCACCATACTTCTGCCCCAATCACCAAAATAATAGGATTCCAGGCTTGAGCCACCACGTGGGGCTTGCAGTTTTGTCCTGAATGTTAGCACCTTCAGGCAGCAAAGTCTTCCTGAAGACTGATGGTTTGATAGAAGGAAAAGATGAAGTTTGAAAGGGGGTGAATAACTGAAGGTGTGAGGAAGATTAAAAGTGCACCTGGTGAAATAGTAGAAGGAAGTATTTCTAAACTCTTCATACCTGAGGCTGAGCTTGAGGCATAATCTGCTTTCACTGTACAGGAATTAGAAGTTCCCGTCTCAGTTCAGGGCTTCTTTTAAGTTCTTCATGGTCCTTTATGCAAAGAAGGTGCAAGCGTAGGGCATTAGGACCCAGCGATTGTTGTAGTGAGAGTGGTTGAATCTCGATCTCTCAATTTTTCTCCCCAGCTCCCTCCCCTCCCTTTGTCATTCTCTCTGCCTGCTGCCTCCGCAGCGTGCCTCTAGCTCTCCCAGTGTTAACTGCCTGCGCCTTGACAGTCAAGCTGCGCAAAGCAAAAGGGTTAGTTGGGACCTGCTTTGGCGACTCCATGGCATCCCCACGAACCGTAACTATCGTGGCACTCTCAGTAGCCTTGGGACTCTTCTTTGTTTTCATGGGGACTATCAAGTTGACCCCCAGGCTCAGCAAGGATGCCTACAGTGAGATGGTAAGTGATATAAACAAGCAATGAGGAGCGCACCTCCTTGGGATTGTGACTGCCTCTCCTCCTTTCTTTCCCCACTCTGGTGCCTTTCCTTAACCTCTCCCCCAACCCAGGACCTCCCTTCTCCCTAACAACTTTGCAGCGTGGAAGGAATAGCTGGACGAGAGCAATTTCGTTGTGGGTTATGCCGGGAGCAACTGTTTTGGTGCCCTTGCATGCCAGTTGGGGGAGGGGCTGCCCAGCGAGGACCCCCAATTTCAAGTCAAGCAGGAGGCTGAGACCTGCTTAGAACCTGTCTCCGGTGAGCCCTTCCATCTTCCCAGCACACACCCAAAGTCCCAGCCACAACCAGTCTGCAAGTCTGAGTCCTTCCCTCTAAGCTAAGAGTTTAGCAAGCCAGAGTTTATTTATTTTAGGGAGGAACAAAGGGGAAAGAGAGGAAGAGCTGGGGGTGGGGTGGGGAGATGCGTTCCAAAGCTTGCAGTTTGTATGGGCTGGCTAGGTATTCTTCATCATCCCATGTGCAGAGCTGACAGTATTCCTTTAGGCACCCGGGTATGATCTGGATTTTGGAGACAAAGCAGTCTTGCCCCAAATAAAGGTCACTGAGCATCTTTTGCTTCTGCCTATCCCTGGAGAAAGAGCTGGATGTTTTGTTTTATTTTATTTTATGTGTAAACTAATCTATAAAATCTATCAAGTCTGTTCCTACTCTCTGGCAAAAACCTTCTGTAATTCCCACCATGCCTCTGGTGGCTGCCCAGAGCCAGGCCCTCTGCAGGTTTCCTCTCTGCAGAGTTGAAATGCCCGAAGGTGACTGGCCAAAACAGCTCTGCAAACTGGGGGCTGGGCTGCCTTTCCCAGTTGAGTGCAGTGAGGACTTATGTAGTGGAGTACTAGATGTTTCCAGCACTTTCAGTCTCTCACCTCCCTCCACCCCTGTCACTCCCCCCCCCCCCCCCCCCCCCCCCCCCCCCCCCCCCCCCGCCCCGGTTGTAGGGAACCTGCTTCAAGAAGCCTTTGCCAGAGTGCCAGTAATGGGAACAAGAACATAACTGGGCTCTCAAGGTCAAGAAGAAAATGAGCTTAGGGGAGGAACAGAAGAAAGAGAGAAATGAGGCAAGGGGATCTTCCCTTTAAGGCCGAGACTGGAAGGAATAGCCTCACACACTGAGAGGGATTAACTGCTCTCCTTGAGCCCACTGCAGAGCTTTTCAGGGCCCCTCAACCTGAGCTGCAAATGGATGAAGTCTGGGAAATTGTAGAGGTTCAGAAAATACTTGCACACAGCTCTGGCTTGTGTTTTCTGTGTCTTCCTTACCACAGGATTACTCTGGGGTGGGGGAGGGTAGCTTAGGTCTAGCCCCAGTAGCAAATCCTAACATGCTTCTCATCTCCCCTCCTCCCAGTATATTAGACCAGATGGAATTGAAAGCAGGTCAAAAAAAGTAGCCAAGGCTGCCTGCATTGGGGAAGGAGGTAGTGTGAGGTAGGAGAAGCCACCAAATGGCTTAAAGAGGTTGGAGTACAGGGAAGGTGTGGAAGGGAAATGCTTTTATACTTTTGTCTTGGCTGAACTAGTTTAGTGTTTGATTTTAAATACATGAATGTGCTCTTGCTTTACTCTTCATATGTATGTTTATTTATACATTTGTGCGCGTGTACCACAGGTATTTTAAGCTTTCCCTTTCTTTAGAACATAGCTTTCTCTACTGTCTTTCCTGCAGTATGCTTCCTGCACTCTAAACCTTGCCCAGTTGCTTTAAAAGGATCCCAGGCTGCACCCTAAGTACAGTGTTAGGCTATGTGGGCAATTCAACTAAGATGGAGTCACCACTGGGAAGCTTCCTACCAGCTTGGCAGGAGCTCGTGAGGAGTACTAGCCACAAATGGGTTTAGAGTGAGCATCTTCCTAGGGAGTGGAGCTGTCTCTTGCAGTCTAACGAAAGCAAGAGAAAACAAGCCTAAAGATCTCCTGGCATATACAGAAAAAGATTTAAATTGGTATACTCTAAGAGAGCTCAAGTGTGTGTATGTGTGTGTGTGTTGGATCAGTTCTGTGTTTCTATACTATGGGGCTCTTGGAGAGGTGGAAATACTATCTAACTGGAAGGTAGATTTCGCAGTGGTATGAACCTACAGAGAATTTCCAAACTGCTCTTTCCCAGGGTCTCCTCTTGCACTGAGTGTCAGCCTGTGGCTGGTGATGGCTTTCTGACATAGGGCTCACTGCATAGTGTCCACACTTGTCCCAGCTTTAATCTAGAGCCCACATGAAAAGGAGGCAGTATTCAGTTCTTGAACAAAATGTGATCAATATTTATTGTAGACAGCACTCAGCATGCTAAAGCAGGAGACTTAGAAGTTCCAGGTTATCCTGGGGTATATAGCAAGACCCTGTCTCTAAAAGCACACACACACATGCAACATGTAGATTCCAAAAAGGAAAAAATATATAAGAATACATGTATATATATTATATTCATGGAATGGATGGGTGAATGAATGAGTCAAATGAGTCATTTGTAGGATTGCCTCATCACCATCCTTCAGTCTTCTCTGTCTTATTCTTGATTATGCGGTTCATAAGCCATTTCTTGTTTCTGAGAGGTGGCCAAGAGTTCTTCAGAACTAAACTTAGGACAGATGGAATGATTATCTAGGCTTTTTTATTTCTCATTTTTGAAGTGATTTCTCTGCATCAGTGGAGTTAGTCATATATTGACTGTAGAGGTATTTCTCATAAGACTTCAAAGTGGTGAAGGTGGTATACTTGTAATAATATTTATTTAGGACATATCTATGGAGTTGATTCATCTTATTAGACCTTTCCACAGGTTTAACAATTTGTCTAGTATCATAAGGAAAGCTATTGTTAGAGAAGAGATTGGAAACCCTGTGCATGAGGAGTCACTGATTTTTTTGATTGATAGAACCTACAACTGACTCTTTAAAATATCTGACATATCATCTTCCTTTTCTTTTTATTATTATTTTATTTTTTATTTTTATTATTAGTTACATTCTATTAACTCTGTATCCCAGCTGTATCCTGCTCCTTCATTCCCTCTCAATCCCACCCTCCCTCCCTCATCTCTTCCCTGCCCCTTTCCAAGTCCAATGATAGGGGAGGACCCTGTTTTATCAGGTATCTTCAGGACTGGCTGCAAAGTCCTCCTCTGTGGCCTAGCAAGGCTGCTCCTCCCTTGCGGGGTGGGGATGTCAAAGAGCCTGCCATTGCGTTCATGTCAGAAATAGTCCCTGTTCCCCTTACTACGGGAAACCAATTGGTTACTGAGCTACCACGGGCTACATCTGAGCAGAGGTTCTCGGTTATATCCATACATGGACCTTGGTTGGAGTATCAGTCTCAGAGAATACCCCTGTGCCCAGATATATTTGGTCCTTGTGGAGCTCATATCCTCTCCATGTCATACTAACTCTCCCTTCTTTCATATGATTCCCTGCATTCTGCCGAAGGTTTGGTTATGAGTCTTAGTATCTGCTTTGATACACTGCTAGGTAGAGTCTTTCAGAGGCCTTCTGTGGTAGGCTCCTGTCCTGTTACTTGTTTTTTCCTATGTCCTGAAAACCCAGCTATACCACTCCTAGGCATATATTCATCAAGTACGCAACAAAGACATTTGCTCAACCATGTTTGTAGCAGCTTTATTTGCAATAGCCAGAACCTGGAAACATCCCAGATGTCCATCAACTGAGGAATGGATACAGAAATTGTGGTATTTTTACACAATGGAATACTACTTAGCAATCAAAAATGAGGAAATCATGAAATTTGCAGGCAAATGGTGGGATCTAGAAAGGATCATTCTGAGTGAGGTACCCCAGAAGGAGAAAGACACACATGGTATATACTCACTTATATAGACCTACAAGATGTGATAAACATAATAAAATCTATACACCTAAAGAAGATAAACAAGAAAGAAGACTCGGGGTTGTCTTTCCTCACTTAGAAAGAAAGACAATCAATCCTCACTTAGAAAGAAAGACAAATGGGATGGGCATCTTCCTTTTCTTTTGTATGAGTTTAAATCCCCAATCTATATTTTAGGAGTTTATTTCTGAGCCAACTTTTCAAATTTATATTATTTCATTTTTTGTCTATTTTTTATCTCTATCCTAAAGCTATTATATGATAGTCATGTGGTACACACTTTAATCCCAGGATTTAAGAGGCAGAGACGGAGGCAGACGAATCTCTGTGTTTGAAGCCAGCCTGGATTACTTAGCAAATTCCAGGACAGCTAGGGCTACATAGAGAGACTCCATTTCAATAAACAGACAGACAGACAGAACTACTATGTTATCTTAGATAATATTCCTCTCTATGAAGAATAACTGGAGAAAGTGCTAAAAACCAAACAAAAGACCATGAACTTTTCTCTTGGCTCTATTGGAGAATACAGGAAGAGTGCAGGGTTTGGATTCATACAAGCTAGCATTAGAATTCTGGCACTCTCGGCATCTCAGTTTCCCTATTTGTAACATGGGAATAAGAATTTCCTACCTCCAGATCTAACTATTTCTCACTTCTTTCATAAGATTCCATGCACTCTGCCCAACAGTTGGCCATAAGTCTCAGCATTTGCTTTGATAGTCTGCAGGACAGAGCCTTTCAGAGGCCCTCTGTGGCAGGCTTCTAACTTGTTCCCTGTTTTCTCCTTCTTCTGATGTCCAGCCTCTTTGCCTTTCGGGATGGGGATTGAGCATTTTAGCCAGTGTCCTCCCTCTTGATTATTTTCTTTAGCTGTACAGATTTTAGTATGTTTATCCTATATTACATATCTAATATCACTTATGAGTGACCTGTAGAGGACAGGAGCTCCACAAGGAGAGCAACAGAACCAAAAAATCTGAGCACAGGGGTCTTTTCTGAGACTGATACTCCAACCAAGTACCATGCATGGAGATAACCTAGAACCCCTGCACAGATGTAGCCCATGGCAGTTCAGTGTCCAAGTGGGTTCCATAGTAATGGG